TCCGGGCTGGCTCTCTGGCTCTCCGTCCTCTGTCGTTCATCCCCTCATCCAGGCTCACGCTGTGGCTGTTCCCTCTGGCCCGGTGCCTCCCCTCAGCCGCCTACAGGACGTGCCACTTCCCAAACACCTCAGCCACCCCCCCTTCCCCTTCCTGAAAGACCCCCTCCCAGTTCTCATGTCCATCCCCGGTACAATTGTCTTCACTCACCTTTTCCTTGGTTTTTAATTATTTTAGTTAATTTACTGTAATTTTTATTTCTGTCCCCCTATCCAGCCCCTGATCTCCAGCGATCCTCTAGTCAGGTCACTTAGCTCTGTGTGTCCCCTCTGCATGTCCCCTCCCATCCCCAGGCCTGCCTCGCTTAGACAGCAGTCTTGGGTGGAACCCCTCTGCCACCACCGCCACTGGAGCGGGCGCTGTCGCAAACTTCCTCAAACCCCGTCTGCATCCTGCCTCACTTCTCCGAAACCACCATTCATCCTCTTTCCTCCCGTCAGGACTTTTCTGGGTGACGGGTCACTGGGCGCTCTGGTGCCTGGCCTCTGGGTTCACTTCCCACCCTGTCACTGTGTGTTCCGGCCAGGTCGCCATCCCTCTCTGAACCTCAGGTGCCTCATCGTTCAAACGGGGCTGGGGAGAACATCTCCCTGCAGTGGCATCCAGGGGTTCACGCAGGATGACATCTGTGGACACGTGGAGTGGTGGGCTGACATGGCTGGGGGTGGGAGCTCAGGCATCCGACATACTTGTGTGTTTGGAGCTGAAGACGTGGCCCCTTTCTGTAGGCTGAGCCTGGCTGGGCTTGCAGACCGGTCAGGGAGCCAAGATGTGAAACCTTTCCTGGGACCCCCTTGGCTGCTGGACATAAGTCACTTGGCTGTCAGCCTCAGTGCCCTCAGGGCTGATGGACTGCCCATGCATGGGGGAGCGTGGTCCTGAATCGGACCCTGTGCTTGGCGCTGTCTCAGAACTGGACCTTGGGTTGGGATTCCTGCAGACCAGACCAGCTGCAGCCTCCTTGGAGCCGAGCCTATTGGCCCAGGGAGAGGGTGAGGGGTCCCAGGGTGCCCTCCTGGCCCTCCCCTTCCCCGTTCAGAGCTTCCCTCGCTGGCTCTGGCTCTGCTTTTTCATGAACCCGTTATGCCCATTAGCATGGGGGTCTTTAACTAAAGAGGTGACCAAGGGGGAGAGACGGAGGGGCAGAAAGACCTCCTGGCAGGCTGGTCAGGCCAGGGCTGGGAAGGAGCACACAGGACCCTCGTTGGGCCCTTCTGGCCCCAGAAGTGACCTCTGGACACTGGCTCAGTGGGGGTTGCTGGGTGACTGGGTTTCATAGGATCCAACAGTGCTCATTCTCATTTTGCCCTTTTTTGTGGATGGGGACAAAAGCCCTGCTAGCCTCCGAGGGCCGGCCTAGGGGGGTGGGGATTGCCTCGTTCCCCCCACCCTCGTGTGTTTCCTGGGGAAGTGACCCAGCGGGGCCTTTCCTGTGTGAACCGCCTGCCGAGCTCTAGGCGGAGGAGCCGGCTTCAGGATGGGGGGTGCTGGCTGCCCCGTCTCCCCCTGACCTTGACTCCTCCCATCTCCTGCCCCTGAGCAGACCCCTTCCCAGTGGCCCCTGCAGCGTATCCTGGATGCTGGACTCTGTTTCTGCAGGGAATAGGGACTGGGAAGGTTTGAGCAGAGGCCATGGACCTGGACTTGGGACGGGGGGAGTGCCTAGCACAGAAGCACTTAAGTGGTAAGCTGTGTTCATCCAAGGAGTGAGTCCCCCATCGCCCCAGGCGTTCATCCCCAGGTTCTCGGGCCTCTGGCCTGGGGGTTCTGAAGTGTGCGGATAATAGGGGATTATGGCTTGGACTGGACCCCGGGGTCTGGGATCCTGCCTTCCTCTGAAATTTCTGACTCGCTGGAGCTGGCCTCACAGCCGGGAAGTGTGAGGCGAGTGTCTGCAGGCTGGACGTCCCCCCATTACAGGGCGGGCCCTTCTTTTCTCCTGCTCCTACACCCCTGGCCTAGGTGTGGGCAGTTAGGGACTACGGGAGGTGGGGGTCCTGCTTTTCCCATGCTTTCTGCCCTTAGGATTTTCCCAGTGGGCTTTTCCAACCGGGAGGAGGGGGGACATCACCAAGACTCTGTCCCAGGCCTCCAAGAGCCACTCTTTTCTCTGGTTGCAAAATACAGACCCATCCCCACAACCCAGTAGTGGGCTGAAGTGAGAGCCTGTTGGGAAAATGATGGGGGACTGTCCAGCCACACCCCCAGCCCGTGCCCTTGGACCAGCTGGAGAGTGAGAGTCTTTCCCTGTGGCCAGAGGCCCAGACCACACCGGTGGATGAAGCTCGGCCCTTGCTGGAGGGGCTGACGGCCTTTTTCTCCTACGCAGGGGGCGTGGGCGACGGCGGGGTGGTCCTGGCAGAGGGAAACGCACCGAGGCTGAGTGTGTGAACCCTGGGCCCCTGCCCTGTGCCCTATGCTGTCCCTGTGGGTCCTCTCCCACCCTTGGCCTCCAGTTCTTGCTCATTCTATTGAAGTGAGCAGCCCCCAAGGTGGGGTCTGCTGCCCCCGCCAAGACTGAGTGACCATGGCCATCCTCTCTCGCCCGAGGAAGTGGGGCTGGGCCCCAGGTCTCCAAACTGCCAGCGGGGACATCTCCCTGGGGCCTGTGGTTTCAGCTGTGGGACCCAGAGCCTGGGCAGGCGCGGCAGGGGTGTCTGCCAGGCGTGGCCGCAGACTGCACGCTCTTTGCTCGGTGCTGTCTGTGGTGACCTCTTCATTTGAGTCTCAGCGCACCTCCTGCAGGTCGTTACCCCCATCGCACGGGTGGGGAAGCAGGTTCAGAGAATCTCCCCGACAGTCCCAGGGGCTCGCGTGGACCCCAGGCCAGAGCCTGGCGTGGACCCCGGGCTTGCCCGACTCTGGCCCCCGCTGTCAGCTGCAGCTCCCCGGGCCTGGCTCTCCCTCCTGGGAGGTGGTTTCTGGGCCTGAGCAGAGGCTGGGCAGCCAGTTTGGGCCAGTATTGGATCAGATTTCCTTGTTACAGCCAAGGAGGAGCTTCCTGCAGCACCCCAGGCCTCACAGCCCTGGATCCCCAGGCAGATGCACCAGCGCCACCACTCACACCTTCACCCACTGGGGAGTTTTGGGCTTGGGCTGAAGACCGCCCATCCCACCACTGCCTCCCACCAGCTGTGAGACCCTGGGCAAGTTCCGTCAACCCTCTAAGACTCTGTCCCCCATTTGTAGAATGGGGACAACACCATGAGTGCTGTTCAGAGTTTTAAATGAGAACACGGGCAGGGGCCGGCCTGATGGCGCAGCAGTTAAGTTCGCACATTCCACTTGGGGGCCCGGGGTTCACCAGTTCAGATCCCAGGTGCAAACCGGTACACTGCTTATCAAGCCGTGCTGTGGCAGGCATCCCACAGTTGCGGATGTTAGCTCAGGGCCAATCTTCCTCAGGAAAAAGAGGAGGATTGGCAGCAGATGTTAGCTCAAGGCTAATCTTCCTCAAAAAAAATAAATAAATAACACGGGCAGAGCAGCCTGTACAGTGTCTGGCACTGTGCGAGTTCCCTGGGTGCAGACCCCAGCTCAGGGCTGCCAGACGACGGCCACAGTCCCTCAAGTGTCAGGGACTCCCCTTGCCAACAAGACCCGCCCCCGGTCCCCAAACAAGGGTGTTGGGAAAGATCCCCGTGTGGCATGAACACAGTTGATAGAGTGAAGGATGTGTGTTGCCACTTTATTCCTCAAAGCCCCATATCCCTGCCAGGCGGGACCCAGCCTGAGGAGTCTCAAGGCCACTTTCTGGGCCAGTTCCAAAGCAGAGGGCGGGCTGGGCTGAGTGGCTGGACGGGGCCGTGTGAAGGTTTCGGAATGGGCTCATTGCTAGGGTCCCTGGGTGTCCAGTCCCTTTGTGTTGCCTGGGGGAAACTGAGGCTCAGGGACTACTTGGAGAGCATCCCAGGGTCCAGAGGACAGGGAGAAGGGGCTGGTTCCCAGCCTTGCCTCGCCCTTTTCCTGCGGGAATCCTGAATCCCACGACCCTCCTGGGCCTTGTCTTTCCTCCCTCCCATGTGGGCCCCTCTGAGCCCCCTCCCCTCCACTTCCCCACTGTTATCAGTGGCCCAGCCCAGCCCCCCACCCTCAGGCCAGCCACTGCAGCTCAGAAGCTGCTGGCTCAGGAGCCACCGGATTTTGCTGAGTGAGCGAGTCCAGAGGTGCTGTCTTGGCACAAACCACCGCTGGCCGAGCCTTCTCCCTCCCTCCCTCCTCAGGGTCTGCTGCGAAGGGGTGGGTGTAGATGGGGGCGGGGGGTGAGGGCAGAGGCTGGTGCCCCCCCCCCAACTGCCTCTAGGGTCTTCAACTTCAGGGAGAGAAGGGTCCTGAGGCCCAGAGAGGGAGTGTTTGCCTGAGCTCACAAGGCAGATCAGCAGAGAGCTGGACTGCTCCCCACAAGGTCCAGGGGGCAGGAAGTGGCACTGCCTTGCCTGAGCTCTTTGCGGAATCTTCCTGCCTCAGCCCTGCCTGGGTCCTTCCTCTCTGGTCTGCTCTAAAGGGTGTAAATTTGCATTAACAATAGCGACCAAAGCAGTTTCCACTTAAGGGCCTCCTGTGTGCCAAGGTTTTATGCGCAACTCTGATCCATTCAGTGACCCTTGAGGGGGCAGCCACTGGGATTGTCCCCACGTTATAGAAGTAGAAACTTAGATTCTCAACACTGATGCATTTACAGACATCTGTTGGACAGACACTGACTCCCACTGTGTGCTGACCACCTACTGTGTGCCAAGCACAGGCCTAGGCCCTGGGCTGGAAGGGGTGGCGGACAAAGATGAATGAGTCCTGTCCTTGCCTCCAAGAGACCTCATGCTTGGTCATCCTGCCCTTGTGACAACCCAGTGATAGCCTTACTGCTAGTGTCCCTATTTTACAGATGAGGAGACTGAGGCCCAGAGTGGCAGGTGCATTCCCTGGGGTCGGTCCCTGGGCTCAGGTCCAGGACCACCCCCCATATCTGCTGTTTGCCTCGCAGCCAGCCTCACCTGGATGAGGGCCACCCGCCGCCCCTGGAAGCTGCCCCGGTCTCCTGGAAGAGTGTGGGCCCCTGCAAAAGCCTCAGGGAGCCCCCAGGAGGCCTGGCCGAGGCCTCTGTAGGGGAGGAGGCCCAGGGGGAGGAGGACCCTGCAGCCGCCCAGCTGGACGTGTTGCGCCTGCGGAGCTCTTCCATGGAGATCCGCGAGAAGGGCTCGGAGTTCCTGAAGGAGGAGCTGCACAAAGCCCAGAAGGTGGGGATCTGAGGGCGGGGAGGGGGCTTCGGGGACCAGGGGCCCACCTGGGAGAGCTGTGGCTTCTCGCCCATGGCCCGGAGATAGCATGCACCTCTCGAGGCCAACTGCATGTCAGGCCCGTGCTGGGCACGCGGCAAGTACAAAGACTGGTTCCTGTGACTTGTAAATGACTTTAGAAGTCTTGACATCTCTGAAAATCTGTTCCAACCCCTGTGGACTGATAGTCGGGGTTTCAGCCTCGTGCTGTGAGCTAAATAGAAAACGCATCATACAGCATGGGGCAGCAGAGGAAGCAAGCTCGGGGTCCAGAGGCCCCCGGAAGAGGACCTGAGGAATGGAGCCTGGTCCATGGGTCTGGTCCCACCAGGACTGGCCAGGCCTGGGGGCCCCCGTGGGGTTGACAGCCATCCACCTTGTGCCCCCCAGGAGCTGAAGCTGAAGGACAAGGAATGCGAGCGGCTGTCCAAGGTGCGGGAGCAGCTGGAACAGGAGCTGGAGGAGCTGACGGCCAGCCTGTTCGAGGTACCAGGGCATGTGGGGCAGGCTGGGGAGTGGGTCTGCTGGCCATCCATCAGCTCCTCACCCCGCATGCGGACCCTGCTGTCTTCCCAGGAGGCCCACAAGATGGTGCGAGAAGCCAACATGAAGCAGGCGGCATCAGAAAAGCAGCTGAAGGAGGCACGGGGCAAGGTGAGGGTCCCGCCGCCCAGACCCTCGAGGACCGGCCTTCGCTACCCAGTCAGACCCTCGCAGGGCCTGGTGGGGCCGGCAGGGATGGGTGAACTGAGGCCTAGAAGGTGGCGCAGAGGTGTCCGAGATGACACAGCTGAAACGCGGCCCACTGGGGTGTGAGCCCGGCTCCCTGGGGCTCCGGCAGTGTGTCCACGGCACCACAGAGACCTTTCTGGGCCTTTCAGGGGCTGGGAGGATCCTGTGGTAATTGTCACTTCTTTTCCCTCCTCCCATGTCCCCCTTACAAAGCAGAGACCTCAGTCAGGCCATGGCAGCCTGGGCAAATGGGTTCCCCTCTTGGGGCTCGTTTGCCCAGCTCCTGGGGGCCCCTCAGTGGGAGGCCCAAGCCAGCTCCCAGACACAAGCATCTAACAGAGTCCTGGCTTACAGCGTGACCTCAGGCAGGCCATGTCACCGCTCTGAGCCTCAGTTTCCTTCTCTGTAAAATGGGCGTCTCAGTCCCCACAGAGGCTCTTCCAAGGGTAACAGGTGGGGTTAGGTGCTAGTGGCTGCTGGGGGGCGCACTGTCCCAGGCTAGGGTGGTGTCAACCCCGGGCTAAGGTTGACGCCCATCTCATCCCGCCAGATCGACATGCTGCAGGCAGAGGTGACAGCCTTGAAGACACTAGTCATCACGTCCACACCAGCCTCTCCCAACCGGGAGCTCCACCCACAGCTCCTGAGCCCCACCAAGGCCGGGCCCCGCAAGGGCCACTTGCGTCACAAGAGCACCAGCAGCACCCTCTGCCCCACCGTGTGCCCCACTGCGGGACACACCCTCCCTCCAGACAAAGAGGGCAAAGAGGTGAGGGGCGGCCGGCGGGCGGTGGACACAGGAGCAGGAGACGGTGCCCACTGTCAGCCAGGCAGTGGGGCCCAGTGGGGATCTGGCTTAGCCCCTGGCTGTGTGACCTGGAGACTGTCCTGCCCTCTCTGGGCCTCTGTGTCCTCTGGCTGTGAGCAGTGGGTAGGTTCCCTGTGACATGAGGTTGGTTTGGCCTTCAGCCTCTGCTGTGTACAATCTGGGAGGCCTGATAACCCCCTCCACGCCCCTCCAAGCAGTAAGGGCTATCCTCTGCACCTGAGGCTGGCCTTGGGCCTGAGGGCCTGCCCTTGGGCAGTCTTCCACCTGAAGAGGCCACACTACTGGGCCTCTGGGGAGAGACCACCTGGGCCCTGTGCACCCTCAGGCCTGAGGCCAGGACCACCTTGTGACACCCTAGACTGAGAGTCCTCAGTGCCCTTTGGTTGTGGTACCAAGATGAACAGGGCCTTTGGGGGGGCTGCCTCCCTCTCCCATCAGCTGGGTACAGGGGTACTTGGTCTGGGCTGGACAATGGGCCGTGATGTCCTTGGCTGCAGGTCCTTGGGCAAGTGAGCTCCCCTGTCAGTGCCTCTGTGTCCTCACTCCCTCCTGGGACAATGGGAGGAACTGAGTCACAGATGTCAGGAGCTCAGCTTAGGGATGCACCCAGCGAACGCCCACGATGGCTGTAGTGGGATTCAGCTTCCTGGGGTCTTGGACGCCAAGGCAGCCCCCAGCCCCATCCTGCCCGATGTCTCCAGAACTTCTGGGGAGGAGCCGCAGGCCTGGCCTCTTGACCGCCTTCTGAGTTCTGAGCTTCCGACTGGACACTAACATCTCCTTCCTCCTGTCTGTCTCTCTGCACCTGTCTGTCTGTCTGTCTGCCCCCGCCCCGGCCCTCCTGCCCAGCCCGGGCTGCCCCCCCTCCTCTCCCTGCTCCTCTGTGTGGTCCCCAGCAAGGTGGTTCACCTCACCTACGAGCCAGCCTGGCAGCTCCTGCCCGGGGAGCTGCCCGTGGCCCCCACCTCCGCTACCTGTCTCTCCTTTTCCCGGCAGGTAACGGCCCCAGAGAGGGGCCACCCCCTTGGCCCCGTCCCAGCCTCACTCACTCTGCATGCGCCCCAGGACGGCCTTCGAGGGGCCTCTCCGGAGGGGGCAGCCTGTGTGTGTTCCCTCCTGCGTGTGCTGCATGTACTTGGGGCTACCTGTGGGTACCTGTGGGGTCACTCTTTTCCTCCTCAAGAAGGTGGTGAGGGTCTTCAGGACAAGACCCTGGACCCAAGACTGTAATCTTATAGTGCCAGCAAACTGAAAACACCCCTAGAAATGAGTTCTGAGTTCTTTGGTGCAGAGCGACTCAGCTCCCCTGCACGGCCACTGGGGACAGACCTGCTGGCATGCTGGGGCCTGCCCTGCACCCTCCCTGGCTCCCCACCTCCTTCGGCTCCGCCCGTTCCGCCCGCCTCCGCAGTGCTGGCCCCCAGCGCGCCTCCTGACCGCCCCACCTGGCTCGCCCTCCCCCGCAGGTGGACACAGTCCTGTTTGCAGAGTTCCAGGCCTGGAGGGAATCGCCCACCCTCGACAAGACCTGCCCCTTCCTGGAAAGGGTGTACCGGGAGGATGTGGGTCCCTGTCTGGACTTCACCATGCAGGAGGTGAGGGAAGGCAGAGGGTGGCCAGCCAGGGGCCCAGCCCCTCCCCCAGAGGCCAGCCCCTCACCACGCCCCCACTGCCGCCCTGGTCTGCCACAGCTCTCGGTGCTGGTCCGGGCCGCCGTGGAGGACAACACGCTCACCATCGAGCCCGTGGCTTCGCAGACACTGCCCGCCATGAAGGTGGCCGCGGTCGAGTGTGGCAGCACCAAGTAAGCTTGGCGCCCTTCATCCCTGCCTGCCCACTTGGGAAAGCCCCACCTGGCCTTGGGCTCTGCCGAGGGGGTGGCCAGGGAAGACCGAGCCTCAGGGTCCTAGGGTGGTCCTCGAGGGTGGGCAGTGGCTGTGGCAAGAGAAGGACACTGGCTGCCCCCATGAAGGGCAGGGAGGCATCTTTGGCGGAAATTCCCAGGCTCTCCAGGGAGTCCGGGAGCTGAGGCCTCCCTCCTCCTGGCTGGCCTGACCCATATCCCTCCCCGCTCCCCGTCTCTCCCACAGTGGGTTCCGGGCCCCGATTGACACGTAAGTGATGTTAGTTGCTGGCTCTGCCTTCTGCTAATAAATAAGCCACCAGCTCTGGCATCTTGTCCTTCCTGCTTCTCAGCTGGCATTGTGCAGGGCTAGCAGTGGAAGAAAACAGTCAGTGTGGAGCAAGAGGCAGAGAGTGGGGAGCACTTCCCCTCTGCGGCCCTGGGTCTGGCCAGCAAGGGAGGCCCCGTGGCGGAAGCTTTGTCACGAGGAGGGCATTTGAGCCAGTTTTTGAAGGATGAATAGCAGTTAGCCAAGTAGGGAAGGGCCTTCCAGGCAGAAGGAACAGAATGAGTGAAGGAATGAGAAGCAGGGGTATGAATGGAAATGCCACTGGATTGGTGGGCAGAGCAGTGGGGTGGGTAGGGGGAGGGGGCTGAGGCCACAGAGGGTGTTTGGGGTCAGAAGAGAGTGCCTCAAATGAAGTTTGAGCTTTAACCTGCTAGGCTAGCATTTCACAAATCATCAATAGATGTTTGCTGAAAAAAGGTCCGATGAGAGTCCCAGTGAACCTGGAGGCAGCAAAGGCTCTGATAAGTCCTGCAGCCAAGGAACCTATTGAACCCGCCTTGACTCAGGATTCTCCATACCTCTTTCCTGGGCATAGGAGAGCAGTGGGGAAAGCTGGTGGGGTAGATGTGGGATTTTGGAGGAGCCCCTGGCTATAAGAAGAAGGGAAGAGACAAGGCGGAGGGCTGGTGGGAGGGAGCTGAGGGGATCCAGGCCCTGCTGGCATGACCTAGCCTGGGGACTTGGTGACCCAGTGGAGGAGAGAGTGGACTCTCGCTTAGTTGAGGGGAGGGATGACTGGGTCTGAGGCCCCCAGTAAAGTTGGGGGGCATTTTTAGGGGCTGCAGCAGGTAGAGCTTTGGCACACCTGGTGAAGGGTCTAGGGGTGGGCTCCAGCTTGGTTTCAGGGTCTGTCCCAGGGACTTCTGGGGCTGCCTGCTCGGTGGCCTGGCCCCAGGCTCCTTGGGAAGCTGGGGCGGTGGGGGAGAGGATGCCAGGCCCCGCCCCCGTGTCTGTTGGCCTCCCCTCCCTCTGTGCATCCTCCTGGCTATTGCATCTTCCCTGCATGAGCTGGGTGGGCGGGCCCCAGCCGGCCCCCCATGGCCCCCTCTGCTTTCTCCTAGCACCTGTGCCCTGAGCGGGCTGGCCCGCGCCTGTCGCCACCGAATCCGGCTCGGGGACTCTGAGGGCCACTACTACATCTCACCGTCCTCCCGGGCCAGGGTGAGTCATCCAGTGGGAGGTCACTTGGCTCCTTAGGGGCTCCCTGGGCTGGGACTCTGGGCCCCAGGCCTCAGAGCACAACCTCGGTCTACTGAGCAGGGCTCGGGCTCAGAGAGATGCAGAGACTGACTCGGGCCACACAGCCAAGCCAGGTGTATTAGTTTGCTCTTGCTGCTTAACAAATTACCACTAACCTAGTGGCTTAAAACAACACCCATTTACTTGCTCACAGTTTCCCTGGGCCAGGAGTCTGGGCGCAGCTTAGCTGGGTCCTCTGCTCGGGGTCTCCTGAGCTGCAGACAAGGTGTCAGCCAGCTGCGTCTTTTTTAGAGATGGGGTCCTCTTCTGAGCTCACGTGGCTGTCAGCAGAATTCAGTTGCTTGTGGTTGCAGGACTTAGGTAACTGTTTTCTTGCTTGCCAAAACATAATCATGAGAGTGACACCCATCACCTCTGTCCTAATCAAGGAAGCCACACCAGAGTTCAGGTTAAAGTTCCAGAGTCCTGGGGCTCGTCGGGTGGTGCAGCGGTTAAGTTCGCACGTTCCACTTCTCGGCGGCCCGGGGTTCGCTGGTTCAGATCCCGGGTGCAGACATGGCACCACTTGGCAAGCCATGCTGTGGTAGGCGTCCCACATATAAAGTGGAGGAAGATGGGCATGGATGTTAGCTCAGGGCCAGTCTTCCTCAGCAAAAAGAGGCGGACTGGCAGTAGTTAGCTCAGGGCTAATCTTCCTCAAAAAAAACAAAAGTTCTAGGGTCCTGACTCCCAGCTCAGGCTCTGGCCCCAGGCTTTTGAGAAGGTTCCGAGGCACGTCTGTCACACAATGAATGCGTGACACCCTCAAAAGAATCCCAGCTTCTGCCCTCACCTGCTGGGTGACCCCGGCTGCATCAGGGGATCTCACTGAGCTGGGGGTTAAGGGTGGAGTGGGCCCCGTTCCTCTGTCGCCTCATAGACTGAGAAGAGGATTTTAAGGAACAAAAGAGGACGTGTTTGGAAAACCCTAAGGCTTGGTGTGGACGGGCCCTTCCTCCTCCCCTTGACCCACTGGAGGCTCCTCACGGGAACTGAAGTGGACGGCGGTCCCGTCGTCGGGCAGCAGGCTGAATGGCGAGGGCAGCTGGTCTGGCCCTGACAGCTTCCGCAGGGCATCCGAGAGTGTCGTCCTGTGCTGCCCCCAGCATCGAGCTGGGCTCCAAAGGGAGTCTGAGCCTTAGAAAGGAAAGGGTGTGCCTGGGCCGCTCAGCCTAGAGCTGGGGTCTCCCCACTCTGAATCCAGTCTCTTTTCACTCCAGAGCCTTGTTCAGCGGCCACAGGTCCCCTCTGCTCTTTCCGATCCCAACCAGGGCTCAACAGAAAGCTCCATGCCAGACATTCCCGTGTGTAGCAAAATTACATCTAGGACCTTGAATCTTCCAGGCCTGCGTGTCCGCTGTGTGGGGTGGAGCCAGGATGGGAGATGAGATGAGAAGCATGTTAAATTTTAGGATGTGGTCCCCACCCTGAAGAGGCCAAGGGAGGTGGCGTCCATAGAGGGAAGAGAGTTCTGTCCCCAAAGCTCAGCCCTGGGGAGGGAGCCCCGCTGTTCCCTGCCACTCCCTGCTCACCAGCCCCCCATGGGGCCCACTGGTCACTGGGCAACACCACGACCTGACGCTCGAGCTTCTCCTGCCCCAGCCTCTGTCCTGCCAGCCACAGCCCCTCCTCAGGCCTCCCAGGTAGCCCTCCAGCCACACCCGGTTAGTCTCTGACCTGGCCATTCTCTCTCACCACCCCCCGCCTGCACCCACTTTGTCCTCCTGGCAAGGGCTCCTGTATGGAAGTCTGAAGGCCCAGCAGGAGCATCACCCCCTCCCTGCAGCTTCCTCCACTCCCCAGCCTGGGGGCCCCCACACACTGGACACCCACCCCACCCCTCCTCCGAGAGCACTGGACATTCACTGGGGGCTGTTGTGGGCACAGCTGCCAGCCACAGGGAGATGGGACCCCAGCCTGGGGAAGGGACCTGGGCGGGCATAAGCAGCGCCCTCTTCATAGTATGAGAGTCTTCATAGCAGGACCCAGTTGTGAGCCAGCTCGGGGACCCCAGGGCCCAGCACAGGGCCTGGCATGGTGCAGACCTCAGGCCAGGTTGTGGCCTTCAGCCACGGGGACCTAGGGCAGCCAGGTGGGCAGGTTCTGATCCCCTCGCCTTTCCTGGCATTACAGACAGCAACCGGCTAAGGCCTGGCCATCGTGCCTCCAGTGTCCAGAGCAGCAGGCCCCTTGGGGTGAATGTGGATTCCAGGGCCAACTGCCTGGTTTCATCTTCCAGCTAGGCCACTTACTAGTTCCGTGACCTCCCCAGTTGTCAGGGGGCTTCCTTCTTGGAGCCTCCGTTTTCGCCACGCGTAAAATGAGAATGCTGAGCACGCCTGCCTCGCTGGAAATGGTACTCTATTCAATGTCAGCGGACACTTTTTTTATTAGGAGTCGCCTACGGCTGTCGTTAATTATCACTTTAGAGCCCAGCCCCTTTGGACTCAGGGAGCGTTATCTGGCCCGGATGGGACGCGGGGCTTCCCGCTCCGGTCTCTGATCGCACGCTCCCCCTCGTGCCCGCAGATCACGGCGGTGTGCAACTTCTTCACCTACATCCGCTACATCCAGCAGGGCCTGGTGCGGCAGGACGGTGAGCGCCCCCTGGTGGCCGGCGGGGGTGGGGGTGGGTGGCGCGCGGGGGGGGGGGGGGGGGCGCCGGGGGGGGGGCGGGCCAGCGGCTGCCGGGCCCTCCGCGCGCTTTGCTGCCCCCATCCGGGAGCGGATTCTGCCAGCGGGGAGGTGGCAGGGTAGCAAGGGGCTGTGAGCCTCCTGGGGCTGCGTTCGCTGGAGAGATGAGCCGCAGAAAGAGCCTCCGGGGCTCGCCTCCCCAGGGAATCTAGGCTGCCGCCTGCTGCGTCCCTGGGTCTGCCGCTTTCTCCCACCCAGAAACTTCTCCAGCCACCCGCCCTCCCCCCCTCCCTCCCCGGGGGCCTGTAGGGGCAGCGTTGCTGTTACTGGCCTGGCATTCGAGGCCCTGCACGATGGGGTCTGCTCTGTGAATCTCCTCCCCTCCCGGTGTGGCCTCACAGTCACTTGACAGGCTCACTGCCTCCCACTACACCGGCCCACTGCACACTGGTCCTTTTACCCCCATTATGCAACCTAGCTTCTGGCTCCCTTTGTTCCCCAATGAGTGTTCTTCCAAACCAGTTTGGAGTCTGAGCCTCTTCTCCCCGGCTTGAGGGTCATTTCCCCCTGGAAGGCCAGAGGGTGGGCCCTGAGGGGCTGCCTCCCCCGACCAGGTGCATGGGCTGATGCTGTGGCCCCGCCCACTGCTCAGGGTCGCTGTGAGACCCCAGCGAGATGGGGTTGGAAAGCATTTGTAGCCTGTCAGACAAGTGGCAGTGTGCACATGGCTGTCTGTGTCTCGCTCTGGGGGCAGCTGTCACCTCCAGTGCAGTGCACATCTTTCAAAGGTGTTCAGCACTCGACAGTTTGCAAGGCCTCAGAGAAGAGCCTCAGAGAGAGCCAGCTACTGACAGGTCATCCATCCTGGGGGACTGGGAGCCCAAAGCCAGGAAAGGGGGCCAGGCCATCTGCCCCAGGTGAGCCTGAGCTGTCACTGAGCTGTCCACCCTCTCTCTGTCTGCAGCGGAGCCGATGTTCTGGGAGATCATGAGGCTGCGGAAGGAGATGTCATTGGCCAAGCTCGGCTTCTTCCCCCAGGAGGCCTAGGCCATGGCCCCGATCTGGAGGGGGCTCTGAGCCGGATACACCACCTGCCCAGGGCGGACGGACAGACAGACAGACAGCAAGACAGGGTCCTGGAGCCAGAACTGAGCCAGAAGCTGAACAGAGGGACAAATGGCCAGGCCATGGAGGCAGCACTGAGCCAGCACCAAATGTCCATCCCAGGACAGACAGGATCTCATGAGGTGACCCTCCTCTGCCCCAGTGGTACTACAGCCACCAGGAAACTTTCAAGAAAACACCAAAGACCAAGGAGCTTGGAGCGTCCTCAGGGGCTCGGCCCTTGGGAGGGGAAACTGGGACAGCCAGCACCCTGCCCCAGTGCCTGGAGCTGTTGCCTGCAGGTGCCTTGTTGCTGCCTCGTCCTCAGAAAGGGACCGTCCTGGGTGACTGGATCTGCAGGGTATCCACCACCTTAGTTCCTAAGCCCTCGGCCCCCAGCACCCCCTTGTGGCCGTCCTTCACCCTGTTCCCAGGTGGGCTTCCCATGGGACTGCCCCAGTGGGCCTTGGGTCCCAGGTGCCCACAGGGCAAGCGGGCTAGTGGGGGCTGGCCGGGCCTCCAGGGCTGTCTTCCACTCCCCGCTGGATCTGCTTGGGAACAGCGCCCCTCCTGCTGCCCTCCCTCTTGACCTCCTCTCCCCGCTCTGAGCTCTGTGCTCCAGGAGGCCCTGCCCCCCACTCCCCTCACCGCTGGAAGGATTGGGACACTTTTCTCACAAAGCCAGACACAGACAGGGCCTCAGGATGCCCATGCCTGTTTTCAGGTCATTCAGACGATGGGGCTGAGGTCGCTAAGGTCACCGAGCCCTGAGTGCAGGACTGGGGTGGGGCGGGCAGGACCTGGGCCCCTCCTCACCCCTCACAGCCCCCCCAGGACCGGAGTCCAACCTGGACACATCCCTCACCACGTCCTGATTTCCTCCTTTGAATGGAATGTAATGCGATCTCTATTTAATAAAGGAAGGCTTTGTTGGGAGAGGCTGGGCAGCCACGCGCCTTCACTCCTGTGCCCTGGGGCTTGGCCAAAGCTTGGGCATCTGAAGGAATGAAACCAAATCCTTTCTTTGCCCACCCTCGTGCTTGGGATTAAACCCAGATCCTGAAGGGGTTGCTGTAAGGAGCACCCCCCGAGTACTCCCCAGTGTTCCACGGGGCTGGGTTGTTGAGGGCTGAGCCTGGCTTTCTCTCCCAATGCTGAGGCTGGCTCTGCCACTGCCTTGCAGGGGGGGCCTCGGGCCCCTCCAGTGTCCCTGCCTCAGTCTAACAGAAGCCTGGAGCTCAGAGTCAAAGTGTCGGGGCTGCCTGGTATGTGCAAGACGGTGGCAGGTGATGTCTACCGGCAGCACAGCCAGGGTCTGTGTAGCTCTGTTTTTTCCCAGCCCTGGTCTTAGATGGGTTCTTAGCGAGGGACGGTAGTCACGGAGGAAGCAGGTGGGTCCCTGAGGACCCAGGGTAAATCTGGGGAGGTGTCTTGTGGTGCATAATTCCCTCCTCACTGTAGGGATGTAGGCCTGACCAGTGGGTGTCCTTCCGGGGGGGCGGGAGGGGCATAGCAGCTTCTGGCTCAGTGTCTACTGGGCTGGTGATACTTCGAGGGGATTTCCCTATTAGCCTGAAGCCTCAGGGCCACTCAGCTGGTAGGTCAAGCCAGCTGTGGGTTGGCTAGGACTCTGTGTCAGTGCCCTCACCCTGTTACCCTCTACAGCCAGCAGCCCTTCCATCTTGGTCTCCTGCCTCCCAGATCCCCCATGGCCCACTCCATCTGTGATTTGAATCCCACCCCCCCACCCGCCTCTCTCCCCAGGCCCCTCCAATGTTCACTGGTTAGGCTTCCTGTCACAGACATCCATTCATTCACTCAACAAGTGCAGGCCCCCTTCTACATGCTTAGACACTGTCCCTGGTGCTGAGGGAACCTGCACTTGCGCTGAGAATCTCAGGAGGGAGACTGGCTATAGAAACAATGCACAGGTGTCAGCTGGAGGAAGTCAAGCCAAGAGGAGGACGGAGGGTGTCAGGGAGGGGCGTGTGCTGCCATATTGCACACGGTGACCCCAAGATCCCCTGTTACATCCCAGTCTCTTTCTGTCCTCCTCTCGGTCATCCCAGGTCAGCTGGGGAACAAAGGAGAATAAAGGTCTGGGCCCTGGAGCTGTCCCTCCCTGCCCCCAGCTTCTGTGCCCTTGGGCCAGGGCAAGGAGACATCAGGCAACACTGCAGAGCCTTCCCAGAGGGTTCCACAACCAGACTCGCGCTGCCTGCCCCTGCGATGGTAATACTTGCCATTGTCCGGCCCAGGTGTGGCTATCGTGAGCAAACATCTGAGAAACCCGGGGGTGTGTGCAAGGGGCAGAGGGACACACACACACTCTTGCCCCGGTATCTCCCAACAGTATCAGAGTACTTACTATACCTCAGCCTGATTCCACGCCTTTTCCATGACCTCATTTACTCAATCCTTGCAGCAACCCTAGGAGGTAATGTTTTCCCCATTTTGCAGATGAATCACCTGAGTTACTACGGAGAGATCACACAGAGGAAATGGTGGCCTCAGGATAGGAAGGAATGGGCCCAGCTCCAGAGCCCACAGGATTAGCCAACATGCAGACTCCTACAAGACACCTACCACGCACCTGGCATTGAATAGGGCTCCTCTTTGTCTTCCAGAGCAGCAGAGACGGGGTCAGGCAGTTGCTAAGCTGGATGAGCATCTGGGTCTGTTTCCCTCACTTACTTCATTATAGCTGCCCAGCCCCCTGCTCTGCATGCTTGGGGGCAGGAGGGCTCTCTGGCGGGAAGAGGGGCTGCTGAGGGCTTCGGCTCTTGGAGTTGCGGGGGGAGGGGTTAGCTGACATCAGCCACACAGTTGTTGTTCCTCTTAAGTGAATTTTCTAGAGAACCCACTTGGACCTCTCGAAGTGCCTGTGGCACATGTGGCCACCTCTTTAAAGCTAGCACCGACCACGGCCACTGAGCCCAACCCCAGCCCCACGTTGGCCTTCCCCAGCGCTCTGCTGGGCCACATTTGCAATCTGCCAAGCCTGGCCCGACTGGATTCTGCCTGGGCTGTGTATTTGGGCAAGTCGCTTCTCTCTGGGCCTCAGTTTTCTCATCCGTGAGTTGGGAAGATTGGTTGAAACGACCTTTGCAATGTCCACCTGCTCTTTTTTTTCATTTTTTAAAAATCATGGTAAAAAAATACATAAAACTTACCACCTTAACCTTTCTTAGATGCACCATTCAGGAGCGTCAAGTGTATTCACATTGTTGTGAAATGAACCATCTTGCTAATCTGAAACTCTGTAGCCATGCACAACTCCCTCCCCCCACGCCTGGCAACTGCCATTCTAACATCCTTTTTATGGGAATCTGATGGCTTTGGCTACTTGATATAGGTGGAATCATACAATGCTGGTCCTTCTGTGACTAGCTTATTTCACTTAGGATAATGTCCTGGAGGTTCATCCATGTTGTAGCATATGACAGCATTTCCTACCTTTTTAAGGCTGAATAATATGCCATTGTAGGGATGGACCACATTTTCTTTATCCATTCATCCGTTGATGGACATTTGGGTTGCTCCTACCTTTTGGCTATTGTGAGTAATGCTGCTGTGAACATGGGGGTGCAGATAGCTCTTTCAATCCCTTTGGCTATATACCCAGAAGTGAGCTGCTGGATCATGTGATATTTCCATTTTTAACTTTTTGAGGCTCCTGCATACTGTCCGCCACAGCAGTTGCCCCATTTTACGGTCCCACCAACAGGGCACAAGCGTTCCAATTTCTCCACAGCCTTGCCAACACTTGTTATGTTGGTGTTTTTGCTAATAGCCATCCTAATGGCTGTGAGGGTATATCTCATTGTAGGTTTTTTTTTTTTCCCGAGGAAGATTAGCCCTGAGCTAACTACTGCTAATCCTCCTCTTTTCTTTCTTTCTTTTTTTTTTTTTTTTGCTGAGGAAGGCTGGCCCTGAGCTAACATCCATGCCCATCTTCGTCTACTTTATACATAGGACGACTACCACAGCATGGCTTTTGCCAAGCAGTGCCATGTCCACACCCGGGATCCGAACCGGCAAACCCTGGGCCGCTGAGAAGCAGAACCTGCGAACTTAACCACTGCGCCACCTGGCTGGCCCCTCATTGTAGTTTTGATTTGCATTTCTCTGATGGTTAAGGATGTTGAGCATCTTTTCATGTGCTTGTTGGCCATCTGTACGCATCCTCTTTTTACTAAGGGGCGTTCTAGGGAGCTCCACGGTGCCATCGCAGTGATGTCTTCAGGGAGAGTCATGGCTGCTAGGGCCACAGCTCTTGAATCATTCTGTGGCCCCCACGTCCCCAGATCCCATCTTTCACAGAAGCACAGTGTCCAGGGCCTAGTAACCAAGGTTTCACCTTTCACTCAAAGCCAGCTCATACAGCTCTCACTTGAGTCCTGTTTGTGTTTGCTGCCTAGAACAAATGCTTGCACTTTATGACTGCTCTTTCTGCAAGGAAAGAGCTCTTTCGTAAATTTGCCTGGCTGAGTCACTGCTGCACCTGTGCGGCTTGCCCGGGGCCTGCTGGCCTACACAAGCACCCCTTGGCTCCAGGACAGTGGCTGGCCGCTCCCTAGGAGGGTGGAGACTTCAGTGTGTCCAACGGAAGGCCTGTGTGGCAGCTTGTGGCAGGCAGAACCCCAGCAGACGGTGGGACAGGGGCTGTATTCAAGTGGTTTGAAGAGGTCCCCTCAAACCTGGAGCACCGCCCTTCCCCAAAAAATGCTCCAGCTGTCCAGACCCTCTCTTGCCTTTCTGGCCAGTTCCTCTCTCCCTCTGCCTAAACCTGTGGCCCGATGGCAGCTCAGGAATGCAAAGTGGTGTCTGTCCCTCTTCAAGTGGTGTGGGAAGCCTCCCTGACGGGGGTTTGGAACAATGTAATCCCAAATCCCCCCAGGCCTCCTGACTCCAGGAAAGTTGTGAGATCCACTGAGTTGAACCGTGGAGGGGTAAAGTGACCTATGTAAGACCCCAAGACCTGCAGAGAAATCACGTTAGAAGCTGTTGTTTGGGCGGCGGGGGAAGAGGTACAGTTCAGGCTTTATAAGAACACAGCTCCAGGTGACAGGAGGGCTTGACCCCCTCTCTCCTTGCTGGGATGAAGTGGCTGGAGGGGTGGCATGGCCCCCAGCCCCGTCCTTGCTTTACCTCCTGGGGGACTCTGTGCAAGCCTTCATCTTCCTCATCTCTCTAGGAGCAGCTGGGGCAAGCGGGTGTTCTAACCCACCCCAAGCGCCCACTGCCTCATACATGAGCTGAGATGAGGCCAGGGGCCAGGGAAGGGGCCAGGAGTGAGCATCTGACCACTGAGGGCTCCTGAAGACAGAGTGAGGGCCAATTCCCGTGGGGGACCTGGATTGGGGTGCAGGAGGTTCATTTCCTCCAAGAGGCTGCTGCCTCCATCCTTGTGCCAAGGTGTGAACATGGTGGGGGCAGGGATATCTGCAGTCACCTCCGGCCTTAGCTACCAGTCAGACACCTGGAGCCCTCTCCACCCAGACACACACCCTTGGCGAGGGGAGTGGTGAGGACACCTCAGCCGAGAGGGCTCAGGCAGCCCAGGGAGAGGTAATGGCAGGGCCTTATCTGTTGTCCTGGCAACGGAATGCAGGTGCTCCTAGTACCAATGAGAACCCAGAGGCCCCCTCAGCCCTTCTTCAGGCCCTGGCCCGCCTGTCCCACAGATAGCAGCTACAGTGATTTCCTACAAATTGTTAAAAGCAAGATAAAATGTTAACTCAGAGAAATATACTTAGGGTGCTCAAAGTGTCTTCCTGGAACCTGCACATCAGCATCCCCGCATCAGCATCCTCTGGCAACTCGGTGGAAATGCAAGTCTCGGCCCCCACGCCAGGGCTGCGGAATCCCACTCTAGGGGTGGGCCCAGCAGCCTGCCTTCCGAAGCCCTCGGTGATTCTGACAACTTCTAAGGACAG